GAAGGGAGATGAAACAAGACGAACAGATAGGCTGACGGGTAACAGTTTTGAGCGATCAATCGACAACTAGAAGGAGATGGAAAAAGTAATTCCTACAAAATATTATTTCATTTTCCAGTAAAATGTAGATTTATATGGCTGACCATTGAATTTATTTTCCAATTCCTTTCTCTCCCTTTCTTTTCGTTTCAGATCGCGGCCGAGGACAAGGACGAGTGCGGCCTCCGCCTGGTGTGCGAGCTGGCGCAGAAGGACCCGCGGGAGCTCGCCCAGGACGAGATTCAGATCCTTCTGCCGTACCGGTAAGTCGGGGCTGCTGCGATATGTGATAGGGATTGAGATGTTAACAAAACTTTAATTTTACGTGATATGCAAATGTAAGAATATTAATAAAATTGCTACCTCTCTCTTCTCCCATCTCGCATTGCATAGCTCATAACTCATATGGCATAACTCATGCCATAGCGAGGCGGAAACGAGCGAAGATATATTTATTCTTCGTACTCTCCCCGCATTCCTTTCCACTTCATTTTCCCTCACTTCTCTTCCCATTTCAAGGCATTTCTCCCCTTATCGTATTCTACCTGTCCCGCAGAGGCGCCGGCCCGAGCGACGGCAGCGTGTATGGCGCGTACGACGAGGCAGCGTGGCACGGCCAGGAGGGCCACAGCTGCGCCGCCAGCTACCCGCTCTGCGCCTTCGCCGCGCAGCAGGTCATGGATGAATACAGGAAATACTCCTCGAATAACACTGCTATCACTCTCGACTAAATCTGAGAGGGAAGTCATTACTCTTGATTGGTTATTCTTTCTCTGCAAGCTGAGCGAACAGATGCTTTGATAACGTCGACGCCAATGAAATCAGTGAGGAATTCAATAAAGAAGCTCTGCAGCACTATAAAGAATAACGACGATATTTTGTCTAGGACACAGTTTCTCATGTACAGTGATACCTCGCCCTGTTTCGGCAATTTGTTATACCATGCACTGTAACTAATGTTTCTTTGTTTACATTGGACAGCGTGTTAAATGACTTGTTACATAAACAATTAAAAAAAAATGACTGCATGATTTACCCAAGATCTTTGTTGCCCAGAAATATTAGAAAACACGAAATGGGAAGAAGGGAAGCATTGTTATAAAGATGAGGGATGGTGAAATAGAAAATGAAATAGATACAGAATAAAAGTATAGAAATTTACTTAACTTTTTTTCCCGTATCAAACAATTCCAAATGTAAGAGAGAGAGAGAGAGAGAGAGAGAGAGAGAGAGAGAGAGAGAGAGAGAGAGAGAGAGAGAGAGAGAGAGAGAGAGAGAGAGAGAGAGAGAGAGAGAGAGAGAGAGAGAGAGAGAGAGAGAGAGAGAGAGAGAGAGAGAGAGAGGAGAGAGAGAGAGAGAGAGAGAGAGAGAAGAGAGAGAGAGAGAGAGAAGAAGAGAGAGAGAGAGGAGAGGAGAGAGAGAGAGAGAGAGAGAGAGAGGAGAGAGAGAGAGAAGAGAGAGAGAGAGAGAGAGAGAGAGAGAGAGAGAGAGAGAGAGAGAGAGAGAGAGAGAGAGAGAGAGAGAGAGAGAGAGGAGAGAGAGAGAGAGAGAGAGAGAGAGAGAGAGAGAGAGAGAGAGAGAGAGAGAGAGAGAGAGAGAGAGAGAGAGAGAGAGAGAGCGAGAGAGAGAGAGAGAGAGAGAGAGAGAGAGAGAGAGGGAGAGAGGAGAGGAGAGAGGAGAGGAGAGGGAGAGGGAGAGGGAGAGGAGAGGAGGAGAGAGAGAGAGAGAGAGAGAGAGAGAGAGAGAGAGAGAGAGAGAGAGAGAGAGAGAGAGAGAGAGAGAGAGAGAGCATACAACCGACTCCTGAAACGAAACAAATCAGTAAATAAATAAGCAAACATATAAAAGAAAATCAAAGAAAGCTACTCAAAAGACAATAAAAATCGATTCTCAAATAAATGCAAGCAGATGTCATAAAACAAACCTTCTGAATCAGGCGTTTCCTTTACTGTATAAAGGCAAGGAAAACTCGATTTCAGGCAGTGGGCATCACGACACCAGGACGCTAACCTGTGCTTTGATTTTGTAAGAGCCTCTCTTCCAGTTTTATTGTATCTTTAAAAGATACATTTAAGCAGGTGACGGAAGATAAGACTCGTGGTTTTTATATTAATATTTTTTCAATATTCAGCTGTCTTTATCATCACATATCATTATCATTATCATTATTATGCACTCGCAAAACCTATGGTCGCTCCGGCAAATTTTGTTGTTGTGAGTCAACAGAGACCTTATGAACTATTTTTCGAGGCTCGATACTGTCCATTGGGTAATAGACATTTAGCTTAAACTATGACCATGTTTTACAGCCCATGGAGACCTCTCAATCGAGCGCATGTGAGGCTGGGTTTTCCTGAAGTTTTGAGATGGCCAGCTAGTATTGTCACTGAAGATCAATGAAGGGGCCAGGACCAAGATATGCTATGCACTGCACAAAGCAAATAAGCTCTTAGACGCATTG